CCCCAAAACCCCAAAACCCCAAAACCCCTTCAGGCAACAATAGTATTCATGATGAAAGTGTACTAGTGTTTTAATTTACTTAACCATATAATTTAATGCAATAACTATTTTTTAATTTTAGCAGATTCAAACCTATTTTTAATATTTCACATTAAGTGTTCTTTAAGTTCTTAAACTCTGTATTAACTTGACATTATTCCACTATCACTATTCCCATTTATTTTGCTAATTCCATCGAAGCCATTATCCAAATAATTTAGAGAAATTAAGCGATTGTCAGCTGATCCTGCATTTATAATGTACTAGTTATTTTACTAGAATTCATGTTGGTTTTAATGATGTGGACTTAATGTTCTTTTTGAAAATGTAGAGAAACTATACTGACTATCAATGTCTTGGATTGTAGTTTTATTGTTTTCCTTATTTTTCTGTTTAAGGACTTTTTTGATTGAAAATATGACAATGCTAACTAAGCAGATTAAGAAAAGGAGAGCTGATATGCAAGTTAATACTATTAGGTGAACTGGAATGTTTATTTTAGCATCATATTCAGAGTAGTCTCTATTCAGAGTCAATCCTATGCTCTAATTCTTTTGGTCATAAATTGAGTAGTATCGAGAAAGAAAAATACTTCCAAAAATGTATTTGTTTTATTTCGGTTATACTGTCCCTATTACTCCTAAAATACATCCTCCAGTTTCTTCGTCATCTATTAAGTATACTGATGAAGAGATTTCAAAAATCTCTTATTCAGCTCCAATTGTAAACCTTATAGCCGATTTTTTTGGAAAATCACTGCATTTATCTTTAACTTTGCAAATCGATAGTTTGCAGGATTCTATACCTTCACCATGATTTTTTAAGAATAATACTACAAGTCTTCTGTAGTCATCTCTAGGCACGCTAATATAAAACTAATTTGGATTGAACTCAACAACATAGTTTTGATTGCTCATCATGAACTATTCATCCCCAAATTAAGCATTCTTAAGACTAACTGCCCAGTAATCTCTTTAAGGTAGTTTCATCCAGATAAGAGCGTCTTTATTTTTCATCTTTGATGTATCAAAACCACCAACCATTAATTCACTATCCAAATAGTTGTCTTTGTCTTTTAGAAATAATCCAAGAGTTGGCTCATCAATGAATCCCTACGAATACAACTGTTCTATAAATGAGCTGCCATTTTAAGGTTTTAGGCCTAATACCCCATCATATCCGGTAAATTGAGGGTCAGTCATTGCACCAAAAAATGTTTAGTTTTAAGAACATATTGAGGTATCTTCTTCAAAGCAAATATTGTCTTTGAAATATATTCCTTTATATGTTCTCTAGAAATATTCTTTTTCGTAAACAAAATAATTGATGTCAATTTACTTAAGCGGGTCTCCCTAAAAAGAATAGGAAGAACTGGTACTATAAGTGTAAACATTATTACTGATGCAGGTTTAGCATTCAGAGAGTTAAACCTAGGTCAAGGATTATTATAAATCAATTTTTAGTTAAAAATCTTGGTAATCAGATCCTATATAGATTGGTATATAAAATCTTTGCGATTATTCATCTTAAATTTCTTGTTAAATTGCATCTCTGAGTATCAGCTTATCTTCATTTTGCTTTGCTGCATATTATATAGAGCTCTTTCGCTCTATTGTGTTCCGGTCGCGAATCTTAAGTTTAAAAGTTTTTTAATTTGAAATGATTGAGTAATTCAAAGAAAAAAACAGCATCATTAATTTTTAGGTTTAGGCTCTCATTGAATTATAAATTATTTGATAAATTTCACCTATCTAAGATAATTATTTTTACAATTTCTTATTAATATTATCCTCTAATATCTAGCATCAATTCTGACTCGGGGTTTTGGGGTTTTGGGGTTTTGGGGTTTTGGGGTTTTGGGG